ACAAGATGTCAATGGATGGGCCAGAGGGCCTCAGACAACAGTCACAACAAGATGTCAATGGATGGTCCAGTGGGCATTAGACAACAGTCACAACAAGATGTCAATGGATGGGCCAGAGGGCCTCAGACAACAGTCACAACAAGATGTCAAGGATGGGCCAGGGGGCCTCAGACAACAGCCACAACAAGATGTCAATGGATGGGCCAGGGGGCCTCCGACAACAGTCACAACAAGATGTCAATGGATGGGCCAGGCGGCCTCAGACAACAGTCCCAACAAGATATCAATGGATGGGCCAGGGGGCATCAGACAACAGTCACAATAAGATGTCAATGGATGGGCCAGGGGGCATCAGACAACAGTCACAACAAGATGTCAATGGATGGGCCAGGGGGCCTCAGACAACGGTCGCAACAAGATGTCAATGGATGGTCCAGGGGGCATCAGACAACAGTCACAACAAGATGTCAATGGATGGGCGAGGGGGCCTCAGACAACAGTCACAACAAGATGTCAATGCCAGGGCGCCTCAGACAACAGTCACAACAGGATGTCAATGCCAGGGCATCTCACACAACAGTCACAACAAGATGTCAATGACAGGGCGTCTCACACAACAGTCACAACAAGATGTCAATGCCAGGGCGTCTCACACAACAGTCACAACAAGATGTCAATGCCAGGGCGTCTCACACAACAGTCACAACAAGATGTCAATCCCAGGGCGCCTCACACAACAGCCACAACAAGATGACAATGCCAGGTCGTCTCACAGAACAGTCACAACAAGATGTCAATGCCAGGGCGCCTCAGACAACAGTCACAACAAGATGTCAATGGATGGGCTAGGGGGCCTCAGACAACAGTCACAACAAGATGTCAACGCCAGGGCGCCTCAGACAACAGTCACAACAAGATGTCAATGGATGGGCTAGGGGGCCTCAGACAACAGTCACAACAAGATGTCAATGCCAGGGCGCCTCAGACAATAGTCACAACAAGATGTCAATGCCAGGGCGCCTCAGACAACAGCCGCAACAAGATGTCAATGCCAGGGCGTCTCACACAACAGTCACAACAAGATGTCAATGTCAGGGCGCCTCACATAACAGTCACAACAAGATGTCAATGCCAGGGCGACTCACACAACAGTCACAACAAGATGTCAATGCCAGGGCGTCTCACACAACAGCCACAACAAGATGTCAATGCCAGGGCGCCTCAGACAACAGCCACAACAAGATGTCAATGCCAGGGCGTCTCACACAACAGCCACAACAAGATGTTGAATGCCAGGGCGCCTCAGACAACAGCCACAACAAGATGTCAAATCCAGGGCGCCTCACACAACAGCCACAACAAGATGTCAATGGATGGTCCAGGGCGCCTCGAATTCGCGATATTTAAAGGAGGTTGATGATGTCGTTACTTGGACCTAGATTGATATCAAGAACAACTTTCTCTTGGCCAATTTTAGATGATGCTATTCCAGAATCACGCGGGCTCATTTGAGTGGCATTTATTATTATCATTATTATTATTTTTTTATTTTTTTTTTAAAATAAACCGTCTCGTTCATGTCTCTACTTGGTAATACCATCCTGTCGTGTGACCCCACGTCCATGCCCCGCCAACACTCGAAAGCTCAGAAAAATAACACGTTATTGGAATGAATGTTTACCTTCGTTTAAAAAAAAAATAATAATTCCCAAGGCATCACATTTCATTGTGAACGTTGTGACCCCGAGAGGTCAAGTTGTTAACACTCGTGCGACAAACAGAAGTGCGTGAGTTGTCTTCTGGCCGTTTAAAGTCAAAGAAGTTTTTGTGTTATTTGGCCGTTCTTGTTGCTTTACATCCGGTAACAGTCCCAGGGCAATCATGACGACTGCGGTCGTCTGCGTGCGAGCATACACCGAGCGAGTCAAGATCTCGGGCATCTGGCAAAGTTTGAACTTGGCAATTAGATATGAGACACATTTCTCAAGAAAACCTGGCCGCTAATTTGCCGATTGTCGTTTCAAAGGAGGGGGAAAAAATCCTCGTTTTGGAATGGGTGAAAATGCAAGTATTGTGTTGACTTCTGCATTATGACTTGTTTACTCGAACCCTGGAAGAGTTGAAGACTTGCCCCTGACAATGACCCCCCACAACCAAACCTCACCTTCCCCCTCGCTGTCAATTCTGCGTGGGTCCCACGCTCGGTCGTTAAGTGAAAGACACACAAAAACATTCACCTTTGTGGAGAAGTCGTCTGCCAAGCCCGGCTCGTGGTTTGTGCACTTGACCACCAGAGGTGACCAGCGCCAGATCTCTGTGGCAGACGTCAACAACTACGGGCTGATCATTCGAAACCAATTCCTCTCAGAAACTGGTCGCAGACGGGCATGCTCTCAGCGCAGCTCATTTACTACAAGATACTTTCATCATACGTTACCAGTTTACGACATTCAAAACATCTTTCTCTCTCTCTCTCTGGGAGCCACTTACGACAGTGTCATTGAAATCGTGCGGTTTCGATCTGAGGTTCTATTGATGAAATTTTAGGATTTGAATATCTACGATTGAGTCGAATGACCCATGAAGACATATTAAATCATTCCACTTACATTCATTAGCCCTTAAGCTCTGATATGCCATCTTCCATACCGCGCATCGCTCTGTGAGGAGACACCACGGTGGTTCAATATGTTTCACTGACAATGGGAGAATGTTTAATTTATTCTGTAAGTGGATTTCTACCCAGTAAAAGAGTGCACCAAAATTCTTCAGCGAATCCTTGTGTAAGTAAATATTTAAAAAAAAACAACTAAAAAAACCCACAAAAAATCTCTGTTTGTGTTTGTAAATAGTTTTCAAAGTCAGATTGTTTCATTTTTTTATTTTGTTGTTGTTGCTTGACACCCTGCATCGGCTTCTATTTTATTAACTTCATTTGATTTGTTCTGGGTGACCGCATCGCCAGTTATGTCTCCGGTTCGCGGAGTGCAGCAAAGTTGAACGTTTCTAGTGCGTTTTTATAATCCAAGGAATCTTTTCATTTGTCAAATTTGGGTGGTTTGTCCGCCGCTAACCTGTTCCAGAAATGTATTTTGTTGAATTGTCTGCGGCGCTGCGGTCTAACATTTAAATTGGTTCAGATTTAAAAAAATAATAATAATAAAAAATAAAGAAAATTAAAAGCCCGACATTAAGAGTTTATATTAAAGATTATTTGCGGATGACACAGAAACGTACACGTGTTTCCGCCCTGATCCTTTGGACTGTGCTGCTGCTGTTCAGGCTGTCGAGGACTGCTGTCGTTGTGAAAGAATGGATGTCGTCAAACAGACATAAACTAAATGGTGTTAAGGATGGGGCAATTATGTGTGGCTCGGACGCCAATCTTCGGAAGGTTGCCATCGAAATCAATAAAAGTTGATGCTTCTGAGATACCGTTGTCCTCCACTGTCAGAGACCTTGGCTTTTATGCGGCCTTCAACACAGTCTTTACTGAAAGTTCCCAGTGTGAACACAGAAAGAAATCATACGGGATGCGCTCTTTTGAAGCGATAGCGCCAAAATTATTGAACAGTTTGCCTCAATCTTTGAGGGAAATTGAAAATGATAAAAATCATTTAAGAAACATTTACAAACTTTTTTCTTTAAATAGATTTAAGAACATCAGAACGCTGTGAGCATGCAAAGTAACATGGATACAGGCGCTATATAAGTATTCAATCAAGCAATCAAAATGTTACCTTTATTTTATTCGTCCATGGTATTGTGAAAGCAAGTGTGTTGTGCTATCAACACACGGTGTGTTGTGCTATCAACACACGAGGCAGTGGGACATTACCCCTCTAATTATCAAGGTTTTTTTTTTTTAAATTCAGATGGATATAATAGTATTTTTGGATAGATCATTATTTGTTGGCCTCACGTTCATTAGTAACCCCTCTAATTATCAAGGTTTTTTTTTTTTTTAAATTCAGATGGATATAATAGTATTTTTGGATAGATCATTATTTGTTGGCCTCACGTTCATTAGTAAGAGTTCGTGGCACCCTGTACTCGGTTCATTAGTAAGAGTTCGTGGCACCCTGTACTCGGTTCATTAGTAAGAGTTCGTGGCACCCTGTACTCGGTTCATTAGTAAGAGTTCGTGGCACCCTGTACTTGCCGTGAATTTGCCGTCCGTAAATTAGCAGCTCTTCAGTCACGGAAACCTCTAAACTTACTAAGTAAATATCAAATATAAGCCACATATACTTGAAGTAAATATCAAATATAAGCCACATATACTTGAATTAAATATCAAATATAAGCCACATATACTTGAAGTAAATATCAAATATAAGCCACATATACTTGAAGTAAATATCAAATATAAGCCACATATACTTGAAGTAAATATCAAATATAAGCCACATATACTTGAATTAAATATCAAATATAAGCCACATATACTTGAATTAAATATCAAATATAAGCCACATATACTTGAAGCGCATTATACCGAAAATCCTGCCCCCCCCCCCCAACAAAAAGTGCCGCAGCTCTTCCAACGCTCTCATCCTATTATGCCCTCATCTTCCTATGCCCTAATTCTCCTACGCCCTCACTTTCCTACGCCCTCATATACTTGAAGCGCCTTATCCCGAAAATCCTGCCCCCCCCCCCCAACAAAAAGTGCCGCAGCTCTTCCAACGCTCTCATCCTATTATGCCCTCATCTTCCTATGCCCTAATTCTCCTACGCCCTCACTTTCCTACGCCCTCATCTTCCTGCGCCCACATCTTCCTGCATATCCATCTTCCTGCGCCCACATCTTCCTGCATATCCATCTTCCTACGCCCACATCTTCCTACGCTCATATCTTCCTACATATCCATCTTCTTACATATCCATCTTAATACGTACCCTTCCTATGCCCATCAACCCATCGTCTCCCTTCCTGTGAAAGTGCTTGAATTGAACCACTGCCGAGAAAGTCTTGTAACATACATCCATATGTTCCCAGAGCTACGAGTGGGCCCTAGAAGCCATGAAGTACGTGTCCAGTATGAAAATGGAGCACACGGCCACAGCTGATGGTCTGGAAAAGCTCCTGAGAAGTCTGAACATCTACCTCTCCGAGCATCCGCCCATGGGAGAGGACAGCTTCAGCAGCATGTTGGATGCAGCCCAGAGACTGCACAACGATAGGCTGGTGGAGCAGTGCCGGGTGGCCAAGGCCAGGTGTCAGGTAGGCCAAGTTGTTTTCTAGGGAACCTAGCGGGTAGGAATGTTGGTTTATTGTATGCCTAACAGATAGGAATGTGGGGGTTGTATTGTATGTCTAACAGATAGGAATGTGGGGGATCTATTGTATGTCTAACAGATAGGAATGTGGGGGTTGTATTGTATGCCTAAGAGATATGATTCTTTGTATGTGTATATGTTATGAAAAAGAGAGTTAACATGAAGAAAACATGAAGAAAATAAGAATTCTCTATTGACAACCTAGTCCCCCTTTTTAACTTTTCAATGAACTACAGTGGTGATGGTGGGGTTAGGATTCTTTACACATTTGAATAATTTTTTTTTTTTTAAATTTTGGATCTTGGTTCAATAAGGAGCTATGGCTTATTTATAGCCACATTTAACTTGCACGTTTTTATTAGAGTTAGAGAAGACTTAGGCATTGTTCTGTTCTCTTGGCAGGAAACACATCAGCTGCTACAGCTGAGGCAAACTACCTTAAGGAGGGCACGCAACCAACTGGAGGTTGAACAAGCCCTGAAAGAAGGTGAGGCATTTCCAGACCGAGAAGGGACAAACACAAGTTCAGCATTTGAACCCCACGCCATTGATAACATATCTGAGGACATCACCAACGACTACAGAAGTTTGGTGAACACGTCCAGAGACAATCATGATCGTTTACTGTTCTCAGCTCCTTCCTCTCCGGCGGTTCATGGGAATGAATTCTTTCTCAAAGCCGCTGGTGATATGCAGAGCCAAAGCCCAGTCTGGGAGCCACAAGACTCTAGTACGCCCACATTTACAAACTGGCACGGGGTTGGAGACGGACCTCGGGTGGGCAGGAAGGTTGGCTTCAAATCTGAAAGCAGTGCTAGTCACCAGGATTCTGGGAGCAACAGTCACCTCGGGAGCCACCACGTCAGCAGTTCCTCCCCACAGTTCCATTACCCCACAGCGCCCCCTAGTCCATACAGCAGCGCCAGCAGCACTGCCAGCTCCAGCAGCAGTCCCACCAAAGCAGCCACCATGACTTCATCTTTGTCAATGCCATTGCCGTCATCGGCAGCGTCGTCATCATCGCCCATCGTACCATCCGTGATATTGCCGCTGTCACCAACACTGACCACGCCTGACCCGCCCTCCAGGACGAGGCTCTACCAGCCCACCCCATCCATATCCAGACTGTACAACTCTTCTCCCACGCGGACCACCGTGCCGTCGGGTTCTGTCAAGCTGAGCCTCGGTCGGACCATTTCGCAGCCCCGCAGCGTCCACAGCCTCCCCGCCGGGGTCTCGCCCTCCACCCGACCCCACAAAAAGATGCTGAAGCGTGCCAGCACCGCCCCGGTCCCGATGCTGACCTCGCCCATCCTGGAGGAGGAATCCCCTGGCAACACGCCCTCCCCCACAGACCCAGATGGCCATCCTAGTAGGGAACAGAGAAGTGCTAAGTCCATCAGTATGATCACCGGGAGCTCAGAGTCCCTGCCAAGGTAATAAGAGTTTATATGGCGTTAAGGCCTATGGTATGACAGCTGAGCTTGGGGTATTTTTTTTAAGGGTAGGGGGAGTTGGCAGATCATTCCTGTATTTCAATGTTTCACTGTGATTGCATTTTGTTGTTGTAACACCACCCCCACCCCCACCCCCACACACTTTTTTTTCCTGGCAAGGATACTGATGTTGGTTATAAAATTTGATTCACTGTCCTCCACTTCTTTGTGCAATTATTGGGGGGGGGGACCCTCCACATAAAGGGACACCCCCATCCACCCACCCTTTATCTCTCAAGCCCTCTAACTGTCCATAAAAACTAAATCTAAATGTAAGTAATGGTCATCTGGCCATTTCAGCACTGTAAATGTTCAGTAATTAGTAATAACCTATTAATGGTAGTCTTTCCTTCTTTTTCTTAAAATCTGCTACGTCTTGCTGGCATACCTAACACCTTTCTGCCAGTAACAACAAATGATTCTGAGGAAAACAAAATTAACAAACATTCCGTCTTCCCAGCACACTCATTCTTCACCAGGGGTAATTCTTCTCCATCTTGCTTCTCGCCCCTACACTCAGTGTGCATGTCTTCCCAACCTACTCATTCTTCTCCATCTTGCTTCTCGCCCCTACACTCAGTGTGCATGTCTTCCCAACCTACTCATTCTTCTCCATCTTGCTTCTCGCCCCTACACTCAGTGTGCATGTCTTCCCAACCTACTCATTCTTCTCCATCTTGCTTCTCGCCCCTACACTCAGTGTGCATGTCTTCCCAACCTACTCATTCTTCTCCATCTTGCTTCTCGCCCCTACACTCAGTGTGCATGTCTTCCCAACCTACTCATTCTTCTCCATCTTGCTTCTCGCCCCTACACTCAGTGTGCATGTCTTCCCAACCTACTCATTCTTCTCCATCTTGCTTCTCGCCCCTACACTCAGTGTGCATGTCTTCCCAGCATACTCTTTCTTCTCCATCTTGCTTCTAGCCCCTACACTCAGTGTGCATCACCTACTACCTCACTCCACCCTCACCCACTTACCCCAGCTCTCATATTCCACCATCACTCCGCCTTCCTCGCTCTATTCTCCCCATTATTTTCACCCCTTAAGCTCTACACCTCCCTAGCTAGTTTTGTCTGTTCTCCCTCTCCTTTCTCCCCTACCTCTCTTCCCCAACCTCACAGTACTCCAACCATCCTATATCTCTTGTCCTCTCTACATCATCCCGTCCTACCAACACATATCTCCTTGTCCTCTCTCCTACACCCCCCCCGTCCCACATACCATATTTCCTGCCCCCTCAACGCCCTCCTTCCACCCGTCCTACCACCTTGTATTATCCGTCCTCTCTACACCCCGCCCCCCCCCCTTTTCCCGTCGTTCCTACCACCCCGCACCTCCTGTTCCCACCCAATCCTACCCCACCCAAACACCTCTGCCTCTTCTGTTAACGTGCATTCCGCCCAGGGTCATCCCAACTTGCCAACTCTCTCTCTATTTATACTCACGCCACTAACAAAGACCGAGTGTTTCTCCACGAGCCTGGTGATTCTGTGACCGTTGTTTAGAAGACTGCAGCACTGTCAGATGAGGTAAAACACGTTTGTTTGTATCGCCTGTTGACAACAGCGCTGTGTCAGTGCACCTCGTAGTCGTGTAGGTATGACACGCCTCTTGCTACTATAGTTGTGTTGTGACTTACAGTAAGCCCACGACATCGTGGTCCCGTGTTCCTATTGGGAGAAATGCGTCGCGTCCTGGCTGTGTCTATATCAATAGAATTTTTGTTTGGTTCTATTCTCCTCCGATGTGGTCTGTGTATGCGATTCATTGGGATCATGATGTGAAGACAACCAAACGCTACCTAGATGTTGGTACCCCCCCACCCCCACCCCTCCCTCTCTCTCTCTCTTCTCTCTCTCTCTCTCTCTCTCTCTCTCTCTCTCTCTCTCTCTCTCTCTCTCTCTCTCTCTCTCTTTGCTATGATACAACGCGTACACCAATGAGCCAACACTCTCATTCAAGAATACAAAACCCATCAAACATCCCAGTTTGGACGAAGGGAAATGTGGCCAGTCACTCATTGAACAGGCGGGCAAGACGCCAGACGGGCGATGTTGTTTGACATCCAGTTGACACTTCCAGCGTGTGGGTCAACCGACCATTACCTTCAGGGTGTGGGTCAACCGACCATTACCTTCAGGGTGAGAGTCAACCGACCATTACCTTCAGGGTGTGGGTCAACCGACCATTACCTTCAGGGTGTGAGTCAACCGACCATTGGCTTCAGGGTGTGGGTCAACCGACCATTACCTTCAGAGTGTGAGTCAGGCGACAGGATTTATCTTAATCGTGGGGAATGGTGGGGAAATGCGGCCGTCATAATTCTCAAGGATGACGTCTTTATCTTGTGTGTGTGGTTGGTAGACGACGTCATTGTCTCGTCATGATGACTGACCTCTCATCGGCCAATCCGATACGACAGGCCCTGAGCTCAATCGAGAGCTAAACTTCAAAGAGGCTCTGACACATTCAATCATTCCTGATGTGATAAAAAGTTGTGGCCATACACCTTGTGGGTACTGACTTCCTCTAATACGTGAGGTGAATTGTGGTTTATTCTCATACTTGCCACACTTTCTACTCACACACAATCGGGCGAGGGTAAATGCTTAATCAACCTCACGGTAACCTCGCCCATATATTTTGTAATATATATATATATATATATACACACACACATATATATGTACACACACACACACATGTATGATATATACATACGTATATATATATAGCATATACATATGTACAGAATAGCAATTGACAAACTTGCGTACATGTACTGTTGACGGAGAGCTGCACCACCAACATTATGACGTTATTCCATTTCAATGTATCAAAAGTCAATAAATATATCCAGTCCTATTTGCGACATAGCTTATGGTGCTTGATTTTTTTAAATTATACCAAGGGCACCCCCTGCCAAAAATTTTTAGAACCTCGGTTCCAAGAGTTTCCGTGCCGCACTCGTAGAAACAAGGCCTATTTAAAAATAATAATAATACTTTGATTTGAGCGCCACGTCTGGTCATGATTTCATTTTGATATGAGATCCAAATCTGATGGTGGCCGAGGACGGCGCTTTGCTAAAGTGCCTGTGCTGGCATCTTGGAGAATAGACGAGCTGTTGGTGTCCTTGTCCCAATAACACATTTGCTGTTGGAGTTTTGATTGAGGCAAAACATCGGGAGTGTCGGCGAAAAGCCTTCATCTGTGGACCAACAGGATATTTGGTGTTGACTTAATATAAACCAAAGTCGAGAACTCCCCGGGCGGTAACCGACTCATCCCTGACCGCCTGGGTGGACAAATGACTCTGTATGGTCCAACTATCCAATGTCATTGAGGGTACAAAAGGGGGCGGGCCATTTTGTTCTGTGACACGTCCACGTACTCTCAGCTCCCAGTTTTGATGATCTTTTAGTAGGCAGGACATCATCCAAGTGAGAGTTAAGTAACTCACTGGCAGTTGGTCGTGGGGGGGGGGGGGGATTTGTTTGGCATTCGACGCGACAACCCTTGACTGTTGACTAGACAACCCTTGACTGTTGACTAGACAACCCTTGACAGTCGACTCGACAACCCTTGACAGTTGACTAGACAACCGTTGACAGTTGACTAGACAACCCTTGACAATCAACTTGAAAAATATTAACGGTGTAAGTTAGATTCTATAAATTCTGAAAAAAAAGTTTACCTTGGCGTTAAACTTAGTAACTGACTAAAGTTATTTTAGACTAAAGTTATTTTAGGTTTGCACCAATTGTGAGGTATCATTCCATGTGGGACGACGGATTACGAAGTTAATAAGGAAGCCACAGGTGGGCCTTCGATCGCATTTAGAAAGATCGCAGGCCCAGGTAGACCACATCATCACCACTTATTGACTGGACGCAGTAACCAGCTGGGCAAACTCACACACAACGCCACGTCTCCCCACCGCCACGTACGTCCACATACCGCCAAGTCCACATACAGAAGAGTGACCAAATGGCTCCCCCGGCGAGACCCCTTTGAATGAGATGGTGGCTTAGATCACGTTTAAAGTAAACCCCACCCTCCCACTGGCCCATTCTTGGACCGAGCTTTGTTAATTCCGCCGACCAACCTTTTGTTATGGGAGTGGACACGGGTCACTCAACTACCTGTGTCGACCGTAACACCCGCGTGACGCTTGTTCATCTCTAAACTGTGCTCAGTCCGCCAGTAGACCTCAAGAGTTCGACAGTTCGAGTCCAAGTTTCGTAGACTATTTTTTAACCCGGTCAGCACTACCAACAATACATTCTCGCCTCTCGATTGATTCATGGAGGATACCTTTTCAACAAATTAGAAAATCATTTTTGAGTCTGCTCATTCCGAGAGACGCCTTTGAACTTTTTGTGATCTTTACTGTCATCACAACGAACTGAACGTACCGTCATTTTGGATAGTTCCTGCGTGTCAGTGACGTAAAGTAGTGTGTTGTGTGTTGGACATACTTGCCTCGGTGATTGTCCAAAAAGTGTACCAAAGCAACCAGCACTGCCGATGAGATATGTCAACTAGTTGTGTCACAAGTTGTGTACCGATGTGATAATGTGTGTACCAATGTGATAAGTTGTGTACCAATGTGACAAGTTGTGTACCAATGTGAAAACTGTAAGTGTAAGCAGATGGGAAAGATCTTTGGATTACGGCGGTCAGCTTCCTTGTCTTACAACAGTGAGGCGGAGTTTTCTTTCTACAGCGTAACCAGCACGTCGAGGAATGTTCGCGGCTCTGCATCAGATGTGTCCTACAGCTACCGGTGAGTTGGTGGACACACATAGAATGTGTCCTGCAGCTACGGGTGAGTTGGTGGACACACATTGAATGTATCCTACAGCTATGGGTGTGTTGGTGGATACACATTGAATGTGTCCTACAGCTACGGGTGAGTTGGTGGACACACATTGAATGTGTTCTACAGCTATGGGTGCGTTGGTGGACACACATTGAATGTATCCTACAGCTATGGGTGAGTTGGTGAATACACATTGAATGTGTCCTACAGCTACAGGTGAGTTGGTGGACACACATTGAGTGTGTCCTACAGCTATGGGTGTGTTGGTGGATACACATTGAATGTGTCCTACAGCTACGGGTGAGTTGGTGGACACACATTGAATGTGTTCTACAGCTATGGGTGCGTTGGTGGACACACATTGAATGTATCCTACAGCTATGGGTGAGTTGGTGAATACACATTGAATGTGTCCTACAGCTACAGGTGAGTTGGTGGACACACATTGAATGTGTCCTACAGCTATGGGTGAGTTGGTGGACACACATTGAATGTGTCCTACAGCTATGGGTGAGTTGGTGGACACACATTGAATGTGTCCTACAGCTACGGGTGAGCTGGACAAACATTGAATGAGTCCTACAGCTACGGGTGAATTAGACACAAATTGAGTGTGTTATACAGCTATGGGTGAGTTGGTGGACACACATTGAATGTGTCCTACAGCTACGGGTGAGTTGGTGGACACACATTGAATGTATCTTACACTATGGGTGAGTTGGTGGACAGAAATATGTCTACAGCTATGGGGGAGTTGGAGGACAGAAATGAACTCTAGAATATATGCTTTTAATAGGCTCAACATAGACTGAATAGTTTGAGATCTGAAATATGATATATTCAGCCTATGTCATGTTTAGCCCTTTAGGTCTTCACAAGGGCCGTAACAGAAGATTGGCTTTATATTAGGCTATACTATATGGCCTACCGATTGTTGTGGTAGAAGTCTGGCTCTATATTAGGCCTTTATAGCCTACCAATTGTGGTAGAAGACTGGCTCTATATTAGCTCTTTATAGCCTATAAATGGCTGTTATAGGAGATTGACAGTGAATGAACTGGATGTCAGTAAGTGTCTGGAACAAATGTTAACATATGGTATAGGGCATATCAAAACTCACAATCATGTTAATATGGTTTAAAATTTACTCAACCTTGATTTCCCCATACTTGGATATACAGTCCACATGATATTGATGCTGCTACTGCTCCTCTTGTGCAGCATTGTATTCTGTCAAGCAGTCACAGTATCTACATCAACATAGACCTATTGGTTCATTAATGTGCCTCTTTTCATAATTAGACATATTTTTAATTAAATAAGTATAATTTTATAATATTGATTTTTGGCTAATCTCAACCAGCCAAGGCTCATTCAGTTCCTTAAGGGACTTTTAAATAGAATTAGATCATCTAATAAAATTGTAAATTTTAAAAACCAAATTCTCTAAGCAGTAATTGGCCTAAATAAAAGGAAAGCAATAATTTGCACAGAGAATAGGCTGGAAAGCTTTTTTGAAAATGAAAACAAAATATATTTGTTACAGAAGTACTGCAACAACTTGTAACTGCATGTCATCATAGTCTGATCTTCAAACTAATGAGATAATTCTGTTTTTCTTTATATATAACTTGTCTCTCTTTCGTGTTTACTGTTTCTATATCATTTGTAATAAACTTTTTAATATTCATGTTTAAAATATATTCATTTAAATTTTAATAGTTAATAAATCTATAGAATGGCTTTTAAAAAAAAAAAAAAGTTTTAAAAAAAAAAACCTGTTCACCTAAAAAAAAGTTGAACAGGTTTAACAGTTGAACAGGTTTAACAGTTGAACAGGTTTAACAGTTGAACAGGTTTAACAGTTGAACATGTTTAACAGTTGAACAGGTTTAACAGTTGAACAGGTTTAACAGTTGAACAGGTTTAACAGTTGAACAGGTTTAACAGTTGAACAGGTTTAACAGTTGAACAGGTTTAACAGTTGAACAGGTTTAACAGTTGAACAGGAATCTGCTTACTGGGAAACAAAGTGGATGCTCCATAAAACACCTCAGCCAGGCTTTGCGATTTTGCCAAATGCATTTATAGCTAAGTTAACCCTTAGTTTAGAGATGGAAGTGGAAGCCCCCCTCCACCGCAAGATATTTACAAACAAGAATCTAGCTGACCATCTTATTGTAAAAATTCTCAAGTAACATTTCCCTGTTTTCTTGTTACAGCATGCCAGAAGAAGGGGAAGATGTTGACCTTGACATGAGCCCATGCCGGGACCAACAGGATGCTGCCGGCACCAGCGTCAAGGACTGGACCCCTGTACCAGTCAACACTCACCTCCACAGGTCAGCCAGGAGCACTCCCACTGGACCGATGGCTGACCTGAGGCTATCGGAGGCGGAGATTAAAAGTAGACGGTGAGTGCACTGAACTGGCCTAGTTTGACAACTCTTACGGACACAAAACCCTTTTGTTAACGCTAGACTAAATGTCAAATATTGATTAACTCAGATAAAACTTTCGTTTCACTAGTGACACTAAAATATATGTTATAAAGTCAATAATTAAACTAACTAGTTTTCCCCATTTCATAAAGGGAATTCTGGTTAAGATTAACTTATTTCTTTATAAAAAAAAAAAAAAACTCTTTTTATAATTTATTTTATTGGCATATTCCCTTTATAAAATAACATGATTAATTTATTAAATTGTGTTATAATTTGTTGTGTTCTGTTCAACGACCCCCACCCCCTTACACCATGTGATTTATAAGGTAAACTTAGGAGGTGGTAGGTACACTGAATCAGCTTGGTACATCAGCTTGCTACATCAGCTTGGTACATCAGCTTGGTACATCACTTTGGCACATTGAGACCAAAAAGTTGTCAACCCTGATATAGAGAAAAATTCAGAAAACACAATTTCATTGATGTATTTTATAATAAAATATCCACCCACCATAAATTAGATTCAGTGGTTTAATCAGTGGTTGTTTTCATCTCCTGCAGCACAGTGTCTCTGATCATGTCTGAGATGATACAGACGGAGAGAGATTACGTCCGGGCCCTCCAGTTCATCACCGACCACTACGTACCAGAGCTGCAGCGGGACGACGTCCCTCAGATGCTACGTGGGAAGAGGACGGTTATCTTTGGTAACCTGGAGAAGATCCAGCAGTTTCACAGCCAGTACTTCTTGAAGCAGCTTGAGAGCTGCCAGAATCAGCCATTCCTTGTGGGACAGTACTTCCTGCAACATGTAAGTTCTGCTAACCGTGCCGTGATAGTTGTCTCAGAATCAGCCATTCCTTGTGGGACAGTACTTCCTGCAACATCTAAGTTCTGCTAACCATGCCGTGATAGTTGTCTCAGCATTGGAATTTGTCTCAGAATTTGAGCTATTTCCCATACGTTGAGTCATGGATTAAAAAAAATTTTCCCTTTCTATTTTGTCATGCAAGATCAAGAAATATTTTTACAATTTGCTATCATAGATACATATTTAGCTACATGTGATCCAAGACCAGAATAGGTATTTAAGACTAAGACTAAAGTGTAAAACTAAGCCTAAATATTCAGCTTTGAGTTAAAATACCGTATTGGTTGATTTTGGTGACAAGGTTGGGTGGGGGGGGATGTTTGCACAATGCTGATTACTTGTTTGGGAAACAAATTCATACAGTGCACATCTAGTTGGTTTAATTGTTATATGTAAGTAAGAGCAACACTTTGTAATAACTTACTATAATCACTTAACTAATAAAAATGCTGTTATTTTTACATTGATAGACTATGCTTTATTTGATCATTTCAGTTTTTAGAGGTCCTGCTATTGATTTGACCTAATTTCTTTGAAAGGGAAATGGCCCACTACTCTCCACTATTGTGGAAGTTTTGATTTTAAACTATATCTTTCACTTTATATTCACCAAAGGATTTTTTTTTTTTAAAGTTATCCTGACTTGTTGCCAGGCAACCCAATGTTCACAAACCCAATGTTCACAAACCAATGTTCACAATCCCAATGTTCACAAACCAATGTTCACAAACCCAATGTTCACAAACCAATGTTCACAAACCAATGTTCACAAACCAATGTTCACAAACCAATGTTCACAAACCCAATGTTCACAAACCCAATGTTCACAAACCCAATGTTCACAAACCAATGTTCACAAACCCAATGTTTACAAACCCAATGTTCACAAACCCAATGTTCACAAACCCAATGTTCTTCTCCACAGGAAACCATGTTTTACCTTTATGCACTGTACAACAAAAACAAACCAAAATCTGATACACTGATGATGGAATATGGCAAGGAGTTCTTCAGGGTATGTCCAATACTGTCAGCTCTCATCAGTTTTGTATTACAGTTCCAACTAATCCTGACCCTAGATTGGCACCGCTGTCTTGTGTCACATGTGGCACCGCTGTCTTGTGTCACATGGTAGAAGCATATGTTTTGAACAAGGAAAAGTTATCAGTTTTTATCAACAAAAATAATTTAAAGACAAACATTTGAATCATCTAAAAAGAAAATTAAAAACTGTAACACCTGGACAATGTATTTATTTATATCCAAACCTTCCAGTGTTCATGTTAAATATAATTCTGTGTCATTTCAACACAACAGGAAAAACAGCTTGAGCTGGGAGATAAGATGGATCTATCCAGTTACCTGTTGAAGCCAGTCCAACGTATGGGCAAGTACGCCTTACTGCTGAAACAGCTGGTGAAGGAATGTGCTGAGACAGAACCAGAGTACCCGGAGCTCAAGGTAACAAAACAATCATGCCTATAATTTTTTAGTCTACTTCTGAAATGTAGTTTTTATGTTGTGGTTTGTTTTGAATAGGCTTTATCAAATTAATTTGAAGTTCTCCATGGTAAGTTTAAATCCATATTGAAGTGTGGGGGGTTGGGGGCGGGGGTTGGGGGTGGGGGATGGTGTATCTTTGTAACCATGTCCATGCATTACTGCAACAAACTCTCACATGATAATGATCCAAGGTAATCTGGGCTTAAACTTCGTTATTTAAACATTTTCTTTTTAAATAACAGGAACTTCATTTTTTTCATGTCTCCTGTCAGTGATTAAAACAAATTCATCAAAGATTCAATTTTTCATAGCCCCAAATTAAACAATTTTCTCACAACTAAATATTTTCTCATAGCCCCCAATTATGAAAAAAAAAAATTTCTTATAGCCCCAAATATGACCAAGTTTGAGATTTCTATGCTTAAAAAAGTCATCTGAGGATTAATAATTGAAAGTTAGTTGGTGAACTGTAATTTATCTTCTGGTTGTTAACTATATTTGTTTCTTCCAGGCTGCCGAAGAAATGGTGAAGTTCCAGCTCCGCCATGGTAACGATCTGTTGGCAATGGACTCTCTCAGAGACTGTGATGTGAGTAATTAATTTGAACACATAAATAAGAAGCTAATCTTTCAACACGACTTAGGAAACCTCCATCTTGTAGACTAAAGCTTTTCTAGAACTAGAAATTACCTTCATATTCCATTGGGCTGATATTGAACTACAACAAATGATCCTTCATGTACGCAGGTAAACCTTCAGGAGCAGGGGAGATTACTACGACAAGAGGAGTTTCTGGTATTTCAAGGTCGCAAGAAATCCATGAGGAGAATATTCCTGTTTGAAGATTTGATTTTGTTCAGCAAAACAAGGAGGGGTCGCCAGGGTCAACATGACATTTATGTATACAAGACAAGTTTCAAGGTAAAAACCATAGTATGAGATACCTGTATCTGGGAATGATGGAGGCAGTAGATAAATTTATGAAACCTATATTTGGGAATTATGGAAGCAGTCTCATACCTTGTACCTTAATCTGTTAATCAAGTTCCTTTATGCAAAGATTTGTAGTTATTTCAGAACTATTTCCTGACACCTTTTTTTAAAATGTAGACTAGCTGATGTTTTTATACTGTATGTTGAAAGTTTTATAATTGATTTGTTGTACTTGAATTTGTTCATTGTTGGTTTCCAGACAGCAGACATTGGAATGACTGAGAATTACGGGGACAGTGGATACAAGTTTGAGATCTGGTTCAGGAGGAGGTCCGTTGGGGAGAATTACGTTCTCCAGGCGCCAAGTACAGAGGTCAAGAAAGCTTGGGTCAAAGATATTTCAAGGTTGTTGTGGCGGCAGGCCATACGCAACAGGGGTAAGCTGATTTTATCACTCAATGCCGGGTACGTGCGGGGTCTATGAAAAGCAGGGTCTATGATTATTTGGTTGCTTGTGTGTTTAAATACATGGTACATGAATATATTGTAGTTTGTGATATTAAATTTGTAATATTTGTTTATAAATTTTTTTGTTTGATATAAACTATTGATTCATCAGAAAATTATAGATATAAAAATGTTCTCGGGTGATCAATAGTTGATCTGAAACAAGACTATTTATTTATAAATTAGAGCTTTGAGTGATTTAAATCCTGTCAGGAAATCCATAATTCACTTGATCAGCCTGCGATGACCTTTCACCTTTTATGTGAAGCAATCCAAAAATGTTGAATGATGTCTGATGCCCTATTTGAATGGAAACTTTGTAGCAGAATGTCACTTGCATTTTTACAGAAACCCGCATCAATGAGCTGGCCACAATGGGTATCGGCAACAAGCCCTGCATGGACATCAAACCCAGCGAGGACAACATTCAAGATCGGTCAATTAACGTCTCTCTGAATAACAGGGGAGGTAAGTGGCACATTTTCACCAAACCGGTGTTCGTTGGTTCCTTTGATGATCGTTCGCACGCAGGAAGCAGTAATCAAACATCAGCCACAACCTACTGTATCTTATAAAACACATTTTTTTAAAAGACAAACCATTTTTAGCATTCTGCTAAATATTTTATTTTATATTAAGTCACAGCTGTTTTAGTCAGTCAGACTGTTTAGTCATTTTGTTTCATCCTTTCTCAGCTGTAATAACACCATATGGTATGGCAGCTCAAGTAGTTTATGTTAGAGGTCAGTTTTTTTCCCCATTTTAAATGTTAAATTTGAACTCCAAATTAGCCTTCTGTATTTCTCTCTCATCTTGCAGCTCGCACAAGGAACTCTATAGCAGTTTCATCATTTGATTACCTCCGCAACGGCAACAAACGGCCGCATTCCATCATATCCGTGAGCTCAACATCTTCATCTGGCTCTAGCCAGTCTTCATTTGGCCTTCTCGGTTCCTTGAATTTAGCCTTTGACCCCCTGGACAGCCCTCGCATGAATCGTAGATCATTTGCATCAAATGGTGAGCCTTAAGAAACTTTTCAGTATTTTTGGTATTTAAAATCAGTTTGCTAGCCATAATCTGTTGGTTTTTTTTCAGTTTTTATAGTTAAATGTCAGAATTTAAGATCATGACCTCAATATGCTAAAATGTCTGAATGTAAGATCATTGTCAAAATGTCTGGATGTAACATTGCATCAATATGTTAGTGTAATGAGTATTAACGCAATGGTAATGGTCATGCAAAAATTTTTTAAAAATTTGTCATGGGTCAAATCATTTTTAACAAAAATTTCTTTATATTACCTGCCCTCACAGAGAGTGGTATTGTAACAGACAGTGACACGTCCGCTGGAGATTTGGGCACGGAAAACAGGGGCCCATCACTCCGCAGGGGCAGCCAGGGAAACAACGCCCCACTGTCGACCATGCGCTCATACTTTGATGTCATGAAATCCAGAGTCTTGAAACAAAAATACCCAGACCAGGTTTACACAGACGTAAGTGATTTATCACTGTGTTAATTTACTGTTCTTTAAACACTGTTAGATTGTACTGCTCTCTGATCACTGTGTTAGATTGTAGTGCTCTCTGATCACTGTAGTACTCTCTAATGACTATGTTAATGTACTTTTATTTAAACACTGTTAGATTGTACTACTCTCCAATCACTGTTAGATTGTACTACTCTCCAATCATTGTTTGATTGTACTCTCTAATCTGTTTTATAGTTATGACTTAATTTAACAGAGAATTTTGACTACAGGCCTGCTGCAAGTTTGTCTAATATGTTAAGTTTACCTCAGTCATATTAGTCATATTAATAACAGTAATATAATGGTATATTGGAAGGCACATTTTATCCCACACTAAGACAGCTATCTCAAAGACTCAGTGCATCATTTAGTACCAGTTACTAAGTGCTAACTGTACTATTTTTTAAAATAATTATTTTTAAAAATCCATTTTAAACATGTGGCAAACACATTTTGTAAAACTAGTTAATGAGTTAAATGATGTATCATTTTTCTTCACACAAAATTATTTTTTATATTCATCAGGTTTGATGAGTGAATTGTTTAGAAAAAAAGGGCCTGAACCGCTGCACACAGGATCTGTTGCTGAGGAAATCAAGCAAGGACTTATCCAACCAGATGTTAACTTAGTCATAGTGATGCTAGTTTATTGACTTGGTGACCCCATTGCATTATGAAAGCTAGAGACAGTGAGAACTTTTGTGTGTGGATCTTGTTAGAATATGACCAGATATAATGTTACGCTTTCCTGATTGAATGCAATGATCTGAGTTCCCTAAGGCTAAAAAAAAATAACTACCCAAAATAAAAGACATTACAGAACACACATAAAATCAATCAGTCAACACAGAGCACACATACTATCAGTTGGTCAACACAGAGCACACATACTATCAGTTGGTCAACACAGTGCGCACACATACTATCAGTTGGTCAACACAGAGCGCACACATACTATCAGTTGGTCAACACAGAAAAGACACATCCGAATTAGTCAACAGAGGACGTACCCAAATAGACATCAAAGAAGATACATGTGTGAGAGGTTTTGACAAAAGGGTAGATAAGTAGCTGGAGCTGTGGGAGGGAGTCTACATGGGCTAAAATATTATTTTTTAAATAGATAATTGAATTTTAAATCAAATAATGGTGATGTTTTTATTTTATTTGGCTTAGATCTGTTATAAAATATTTGTTGAAGTGCCCATACTTTTTCCCCTAGTTATCTAGCTTTTTAAAGGATATCTTAATGTGACACCCTGCACAGTGTGCCATCATTTTGTCACCCATTGAAAGGACAGGAAGTTGTTCTTCTATTTGAGTAACACAATTTATTTTTATAAACCAATCAGAAACAATTTAGGGAAAAGGTTAGGATAAAAAAATAAAAAAAAACTAAGTAAAATCCATATTTAAATTTAGCCTTGGTTACAAAACCTATTTCTGCCTATACGCCATCTGTGATTGGTTGAAGCAACTATAGGGAAATTGCCAACCCAATTGCCCGTTCAAAAAAAAGAATGCTTTTTTACTTAAGACTCACATAGCTTCAGTTTACTTAAACAATGACAGTTTTGTGCTTTATTGGCATACAATATTATTGTTGATACCATAGTCAAGAGTCAAATGCCATTTTTCAGCCATGTATTATAACTATTCATAATGAGTATGGCTGCTGGTTGAGTTGTCATTTTAGTATCAACTTAAAACCTGTTCAAAGCCCTTTTAAATTCTCTATAAAACTCCAAATGTTAAAGAAACACCTTATCTATCCTTTGTGAGAGCTTGTCACATATACCCAATTAGTCTTCACTTGACATATACCCCAATTACAACCTATTATACATACCACTGACAATTAGTTTTGCCAACCTGTTATAACATACATCTGGTTTATTTATCTTTATATAACTATTTGATAATACTCTACAGGGTCCAACACTTGGCCATTTTTTGTGTGTACACATATACATTTACAATTGTTACAACCTGATCATGTTTCCTGTTATGAACTGCTGTTGTTCTGTTTTCATGCAATCCCAGATTTTCGTCAGGAATGTGTCCACCACCATTTTGTGCTAATGTCAGATTTAGCATGCTAAATATTCGGCCACTCGGGACAGGGTTACGGTTCTTCTTTTATTGTTAGATATGTGCATATAAATTTTTGCCCATATCAGCGGCCCCCCTCCAAATCAGATTATATCAGCACCCATCAATTCTGTTAAACCTGTTTCAGCCCACTGTATTTCGGAAAAGAGATTTGTTTTTTTGGATCCTTTAATCTCCTGAAAAAAGTATTGAAAATACCTTGAACCATATTTTTATGTACATTAAATGAATCTATCACAATTGACATTTTAAATAAAGCCAAACCCTGTATTGTATTGTGCCTTTGTCTCCTAACGTCAACTTACTGTGCATTTAAATTAACTATATCTTCAAATCAGCTGTTTATTCTCAAATGTACATTCAAATCGGGAGTCCATTCACATAAACTGTCCATTAAATCGCCTGTCAAGTCACATAAACTGACCATTAAATTGCCTGTCCATTCATATAAACTGTCTATTAAATCACCTGTTCAGTCACATTAACTGTCCATTCAAATCAGCTGTTTATTCTCATGGACTGTACATTAATAAAACTGTACATTCGCCTCAAATTCCAAAGATATATACTGTAAATAATGTACATTTCTTCTTGTTCTTTGCAGTGTACAACCCAGGCAGCTTCATTTTCATGGTTTAAATTTGAAGGATAACCTTAAGTTTAAAAAAAAGAATTCAAAGTCATTAGTTAAAAATAATTTTTCTATATCCCTAGGGCCTAAAAACAAATGAGCACATTTTCTGTAATGTTAATAACTGAAATAACATCCCATTTTAACTTTTTTTTTGTTGGTTGGCAAATGAAATTCCCAGAATGCCTTGCTCCTACACTGTTTAAAATCCTAAATTATCTCATGTTAAAATGAACTGTATATAGATAAAATATTCTTCTTCTTGTACTCTTACTCTTTATTTTTTCAAAAATCTGTTACTGTTGTAAATGAAGAGGTTTAGTTTTTGTTGTGCTGCTAAATCGTCTTTTTCTTTTTGTCAGAGATTCTAAATGAGGATGTCCATTTTGTTCACTACAAGTGAATTTTTCTTGATAGTTTCTTAGATTGTGATTTTTAAAAACAGTAGAAAATAAATTATTTAAGAAATAAATAGTCGAGGTGAATGAGTTTATCTCTTGTATTTGACCTGTCATCTAACATTGAGAGGCCTGTTACTGAACTCATCAGTTAATAGTTGGCGCCTTTAAGAACATTCAGAACTGGGGTGAATTCTTTTATGAACTTTTATAAAATGAGTTTTGCAAAATAAGATGTTGTTAGTCAGGGACTTTGTGGGGGCAGAATCCCTGAAGCCTTGACAGGTGTCCAAAAAAATATAAATTTAAAAAATATGAAAGAGTTGATTTTGAAATATTATAGTGACATGATGGATGCAGGAGTTGTTATAAAATTGTATACACAAACAGTTAAAGCCTACAGGGAAACATATGGTTGAGCTGTCATTAGACAAATGAAGTTAGACTGCTGCTGGTCACTGTGGGGGTCAGTGACCAGCCATGTTGTCCATTAAATGTTAGGCTTTTTTAATTGAAAGTGTTGATGGTGGATTTCCCAATAGAATAAATGACTATGTCCTGTCCTGGTGAAACTGTTTGGCTGTGACATGTCTTGTGTTTTCTCATGTTCCATTTTGCTGGAAAAATAACTTAATTGTTAAATCCTGGCTTCCACAATATGTTAAACCTGTGGTTCTCAAAATTGAGATGGGATTTCATGGATCTCATGGGACAATTAAAAATTGGTTCTTAAAGATTATATAACATTTTTTTACAAATTATTTGGTGTTATAAAAGTTACAACCTGATAAATAATTACAACCTTCAATTTATGAAAGAGGAATTTTCATAAACAAGAGTTGCGTGTTAATCCTATCCACAAGGTTGAGAACCACTGGTATCATGCTTCCATAATGTGTTGATGAAATATTGCCACAAAGTTGCATCTAAAAATACTTACTTGTACAATTATTTATTACCATCTTGGTAGTGGTCTAATGTTAAACATGCATGTTGCATACCCAATACTCTAAAGTTAAATGCTGTTGGCTAGTGACAGCTTTTTTAATCATTTAACATGGTATATAGAACAATTGTTGCTTGGCTGGCTGGATAAGTCCATAGACTTGTCCTTATGGTGAAATAGGTGACAGACTGGGATGTGTGGACATCAGTTTATGTGCACAATACAATAGACAGTGTGTGGGATGATACTAATATAGGACTTCGCCAGCACCTGTCATTTCATTAATTCCTTCGTTAAGAGTGACATCTTGAAATAGCTGAAAATATTGTTTTTAGGTGTTTTCACTTCATGACAGCTGTGCGACACTTTTGTGATGATTCATTTCTTTGATCAAACAAGTCAAAATTGACATGGTCCAGGCTGATGATTTGATTGCTTTGAAACACATTAATAAAATACAAGAATTGACTTAACTTTTGATATTCTTGGATAGTATCTCAATGAACCCTCACCACTGGACAACTGAATTTGTGGTAATATTTAACAAATGAATTTGTAAATAAATTCTACCCATCACATTCTATCCCATCTTTTTTTCTGCAATATTAATTTTTCAATGCCAAATAAAATGTTCATAAAATAAACCATGCTGTTGTTCACTGTGTCCTTAATGTGTCTGTAGGGCGTTTTACCGTGTCTTAATGTGTCTGTGGGGTGTTTACTGTGTCTATATTGTATCTGTGGGGGTCTATAAATATAATAAATGAATCCAAGAGGACTAGTTAACACAAGACATAAAATGTTATTTCTTGCTTTTACTTAAATAAGTACCTATAGTTGCCACTGACTATTCGCACCCGGAGTGGCTCCGTACATATTAAATGGCTTCGGAGCCGGGTGT